TCTTTTGCCAGTACTTCTGGTTTTCGACATAGGAATGAAAAAGTTTATTTCCAACAGTCAGCATTTTGCACCGGAACTGATGTCTATTCAGCTCGTCCATCACTGGGCACTGTGTACGGATTCCTATAGGTCATATAATCAGTCATGCATAGGGGAATATAGAGCTGAACCACTTGTAAATTCTCCTGGCACCCCTCTCGTCGTTACTTGTGAGAAAAAGTAAGCAATAGCAAAACTTAGAATAGAGTTAGTCACTCTAGTTCAAAAGGGAAATGTTTGGCTGCACAAAACCTCAAACAGGGTATTATCCGCCCTTCGTCTCCATCTGTTGTACATGGAAAACTCTTTGTTATCACATCAAAATTGTTGGTTCAGATATAAGAGGAATTAGACGACAAAACATTTTATTATTCAGTATTCTACAGTTGGTGATTAATTTCCTTCTTTAAATCGGTGTCCTTTGATAGCAGGATATATTGGAATCCCTAACTCTATTACCACTATATCAATAAACGTGTAAGAGGCTTAATAATTATTCTTTACAAGACTGTCATGGCAACTTGGTTCGCATATAACTAGTTAAAAAATAGGATAGTGATAAAGAAAACGTGCTTGAAATTCCCAGATTCCCAGTTGCTTTACACCCTATTGGCCTTTGGCATCCCAGGTGTTGGTAATGCTGAACTTGAAACAACTCCGTATTTGATCTGGTGATTCACTTCTCACATTGGGTAGATCTATAGAGTAAATCCAGTGCCTAAAATATGTTTACTCTTTACGACCTGGGAGTTAATATTGATGTTCTCTTCCTTTCTGAAAATACTAGTCGGACTTCTAAGCAAAGGCATACATACAAAAGTATGTCGTAGGATTTTGATTAAATACATTACTTCCGTGATTATAAAAAGTCACTTTTTAAACATTAGTTAACGTAAGTATCATATGGACTAATATCATACCCAAACATAAAAAAATCAATCTCGTAAATCTGGTAAAGCCTGTGCAACTGCTGCAAAGTAATTTCTCTGAAGAAGGCAGCCTCAAAATTCGCCGGCTTTTGGTCACTGGACTGCTGGGCTCCATCATGTCCCAAATTCTCCCCTGCTTTGCTATGCGCATCCTTAGGTAATGGATCGCGTTTCCTTTGCGAGTCGCCGGGTTTCGGAAGCAGATCCTCCCTGGTGCCGTGAACCTGCTTCGGAGCTAACTGCGGAAGACCCGTGAGATCGACAAGGTACCGCGTGTCATCATGCAAACTCTCAAGGTGCATGATGATGTTGTAGCGGTGGTGGCAAGGCGTGCAGATCAGGTAGTACGGTTGCCAGTGCTCGTTGTATTCCCACGGCGGTGTGTCCAGGAGGTATTCGACAAACTCCCCGAAGGTGGGCACTTCGCTGTACTCCACTGGCTTCTCTTTCAAACGATATCTCTCGATGATCTCGCGGCCATATCGTATTTTGAAGGACCGGAATTTCGAAAGGGGCGCTTTATCCAATAGACGATCTCTGTAAGAGGAAGAGTTAATTTTAGGTGAGCATGATATGTGACTGAATAAAATTCATCCACTTACTGTATTCGAACACAGTCTATCTACAGATTTTCTTGATATTCTCATCACACGATCCTTCTCGTCTGTTTTCCCATTTCGCGGTGACATTTTTTTGCCGTGCATCGGAACAACAGCTGTCAGCCCCATTTCGCCAACATGCCAAAGCTACACCAGTGGTTTCCAATCGGGACCATTTACTTTCGACCGCAAAAGGTAGCTGTGTGTGGGGGGGGGGGGGCACAGAGGTAACAGAGAATGGTATGCCATAGTTTGTAACAATGATGAATTTAACATTTGTTGGGAAAGGGGAGAGCAAGGCAAACTGCCTGGGAACTGCTATCACAGACATTCATTTTAACCTTTTCAATTCATTTCTGGTAGAATAGTAGATGGATACTAATCAGTTCTGTTTCATATCAGAAGAAATTATAATACTCTATCGTAAGAGCGAAGCAAAACACACTATAACCATAGTAAGAAAACAATATATATATATATATATATATATATATATATATATATATATATATATATATATATATATATATATATATATATATATATATATATATATATATATATATATATATATATATATATATATATATATATATATATATATATATATATATATATATATATATATATATATATATATATATATATATATATATATATATATATATATATATATATATATATATATATATATATATATATATATATATATATATATATATATATATATATATATATATATATATATATATATATATATATATATATATATATATATATATATATATATATATATATATATATATATATATATATATATATATATATATATATATATATATATATATATATATATATATATATATATATATATATATATATATATATATATATATATATATATATATATATATATATATATATATATATATA